AATTAGGTAGCTCCATATTCTCTCTTGAATGAGTTTCCTGAAATAAATAAAAATAAAAAGATACTCACGCAATTATTTAAACAAATTGAAATAAATATTATAATAATTTTAATATATTTAGAATAATATACAAATTGGAAATCCATAATAATGTTTTTTTACCTGAATTCTGAAATATTAAATCAGCCAAAAAAGACACAGGTGCTATGCAAGAACACTATGGTTCAATTAAGTTGAACTAAAGATCGATCTGATTTTTTTCACTGAAGTCAACATAGGAACATTTCATTACTTTAGTGAACTCAATATCTAGTTTTTTGTATAATGGTTAAGGATTGTAGCTTATATTGTTATCTGATCTTTCAATATAATTAGAGATTTTGGGAAATTGTTAATTTAGTAGGAGGAAATCATTCTTTGAAATGTTACTATAGATGGTGATAGATTCTTTGCCTTATGACCTTCTAACACCAACAGCTAATCTTATCTGATTCCTTATTGCAGAATGTTATTGATAAGTTTTGCAAATTCATTATTCACATTTATGGTGCGCCCTAGGCAGTCTTATGAGCTAATCTCTTAGTAATTGCAATGAGCATAATACAAAACGGTTCCGGTAATTATGGTGTTGGGGACTTCAGATTTCAAAACTTAATTTCAATGTAATGGTTTTTCCATACTTTAATCGACCTTTGTTGAGGATAGACTTGTGACACTGGAGCAAGTATCTTTTCAACCAATATATGCAATAGTAATTCAGTTGCTAGGTAAGTTAAAATAAAATTAGATCATACATTTCATATACGTGTATTGAGTCTGATATTATAAACACAGTAATGAAACATGAGATGAGGATTGCAAAAATGAAATCATATATGTAATATATATATTCAAGAACCAATCATTGTTAAAGATTTAATGAACTGAACAAAACCATAAATAAAAAAGGAGAAATAACGAACCTTCTACTTTCTTCTTAACTGATTGATCCATGGAGGCAAACAATCATCCAACGGGATGGTGGTAGGAATGTAGTAGATGAATATCGTTTATGTCAGAAAATGAAAAGTCACTTCCCCTTTTGTTGTATATATTAATTAGTAATAATTTGACCTTTATTTGAAATACCTCTGTTTTGGCAAATTTACTGTCTTTTCAGTTCATTGTTATGTAACTTTGGCGCTAAAACCTTCTTTGTAGGTCTGGTGCGGCAGATTAAGTGACTTTTCAGTTCTTTGTTATGTAACTTAGTCAATAATAAAGTGTCTGTTCCATAAGTGGGAAATGAAGGGGCATTAGAGGATGAGTGAAGGCACGACAGAGTCCCAAGAATTTGTCTGTAGCATAATTTGTAGAATTAGTAGCATTAAATAAGCTGTGTAGGTTGTTGCAGGTTTTTTTTATTAAAAATTTTTGGATTTAAAGAAATATAAAAAAAAAACATGAGTAAAAAGAAAAAAGAAATATCGAGTTCGGAATTCTGGTTATTCGTCTCTTGCTACCGTGTCATATGGCATAATTTTATTGAGTTTACTATTGAACCTAAGTGGATAACACAAAAAAAAATTGGAAGACATACACCTCATATTAATTATGTTTTAATTAATTATATAAATAAAGTCAAATTATTTATTACACGGGATATCTAAAAACCATAAATTACTACTTTCTTAAGATGATATAAAAATAGTAATAGCTGAAGGTTGGATTGTGAAGCTGCCATACTGTGCTTTTTATTTTCCTTCCCATTTTCATGTATGAAATTCACATTAACATGCATCTTCTATAAGTCACGTTAACAATATCGATTTTTTTTAATAAGTTGTGTAGGTTGTTGCAGGTTTTTTTTAATTTGGCTATTTAAAACTATATTAAATGATTATTAGTGTTCTGTTAGTATGGTAAGAATTTCTCCTACCATTCCGAAACAATGACAACATGAAGCTACTACCTACATAATAATTGTTTAATACTAAAGACCTAATTCGTGGAAATGTATGAATATATAACTTTGTTTCATTATCATAAGACATGTCATTTTGCTTGCAATTACATGTCACCTTGCATGTAATTGCAGTAACATGTGCCCAGTAGTTTTATTCTGCATGTAATTGATCATTGGTAATATATATGAAACAAAGAAGTATGATTGATAGAAGAAATAATTATTAATAATTATTTGAGAAAAAAGAAAGAGTTTAAATTTTTTTTTGTATTATATAGGATGAGACAAATAAGACATTGCTGTGTAAGTTCAATTTTGATTTAACATTGGTAAAAAATTCTTGATAGACAACGTTAACAAACAATTTTAAAATTGGCCATGAGACTCAATCAGCAAATCCACGACTTTGAGAAAAAAAAAATAGAGAAGAAAACTAAAAGTTTGAATAAGCCTCATAAATATTGTTTTAAACGTTTATTGGAATGATAAATAACAGTACTGAAATTTGATAGTACACTTTCTAAGTGTAAGGTCTACATTTACCCTATAAAATATACTAATAGAAACTATGCTGATGTTACTATTACTTAAATTGTTATTTGATATCAATTGTTATTATCTACCTTTTTTAATTGTAGATAAAAATTTTGTTATCAATCGTAATAAAAATTTAATAAATATATAGTTTGATTTTGTATTACTTGCTTGTAAAACCATTTTTATGTTGTTTATATTTTATATTCATAATTTAAAAGAAATATGAAATGTCGCTTATTATGACATGTACATGAATTCTTGCATGACGTCAATACTACTATTAATTGCTGTTGATTAATAATTTTTAGAAAATATGTTCTATCTTGTGAAGGCATTCTACACTGAGACGCAAAATATAAAGAGGCAAAGTATGTCCTCAGGAGAATATTTATTCAAATGTATTTATGAAAAATAAATTGAAAGCTTGTGATATTGAAGGAGAAAATCAATTTATAAAAAAGTCAGGGGTGGTATTTCTAACTTTGATTTTGCTGACATGTCTTTTTTGCTTGTTGTTGAAGATTGATATTGCTTATAGTTGATATTGAGTATAAAAGTGCATCATTAGTGATATGCAAACATCATCTTCTCGTACATATAACATTATTTTTGCCAACATTAAACCACAAGGTTTAATAAGGAGCCAGAAGATGACAATGACAATGGTAAACCATTGGTTACCATATCCACATTGAATGTACTCAATAAAGGAGCCAAAAGATAACAATAAGCAAAATGACAGATTTAAAGTATGTGTAACATGAATTACACCCTACAAATCTTTAGTAGAATCAAACAATCAAAATCTGTCTCATACAACCAAAAAGCAAAGCTTTACGAATAAAGGGTAGAAAAGTATTTTGAAGAAACCAAACTGCAAGAAAAACATAAAAACAATAACACAACAATCCCAATATTTGTAATCATGCAGACAAAGACATAAATTATAGCCTGAAAGAGCAATCCACAGCATGGCGGAAGTTTATAAAAACTATTATGATCAATCCTTCTCAATCTTTATGGCCTTAGTTGGTCTCAAACATGGAACCAAATCCGCAACCCCCACTGGTTTTTCGCTTTCTGTATCTGCAAATATGTTGGCAGGATTTTCTGGCAGCAAATTAGTACCCAAATTTGCATCTTCAACTGCTTTTGTCTTCCTTAAGTCTAATTGTTTGGTAGGAGGAGTTACTGCCACCAAATCCAAAACCATATTTGCATCATCAACTTTTTTTGTATGATAAGTATCAGAAAGTTTGCTGGTAGGAGTTACATCCAAATAATCATTGTCTTCATGTTCTTCGTTGAATTGCTGTATATTATTAAAGATCATATTGCATTAAAAATAAAACATTGATAAATATTAAAAAAGCAAGATAAAGATAACTAATAAGGTTAAGCATGTACCAAAGTCTTTTGAACAGTAGATGAATTCTCCCCTACTTGGCTAACAGTGTTTTCAAGTACACCAAGTTGTTCATCATGCACTGATCCCTGCATTAAAGAGTTTCACATTTACCAAAAATTATGCATAACCACAGGAAGACTTACATCCCAATACATTATCGTTAAAATAATCTTAATTTAAAAGTAATTACATGTCCATCCATTTGACCGTTGAGGAATGATTGAATTATGTCCTCATCGGAGCAAACCCTGCTCACTTGGTAAGCACTTTCCTCATAAGAATCAATATTAGTTTTCTTGACATTAATCTTAAAAAGATATGAGTTTTCGATCAGAGCATCAATCTCTTGAGGGTATTTGTCCAAGTCACCACCCTAAATTTAAATATGCAAATTAACAGTCAAAGGGGATGATGTAAGGACCAGCATATATAATGAATGATTAAACCATAAGACATATAACACTTGCCCTCTGAAAATGTTGTTCACACAATTCAGCAGCTGAAAGGCATAATAAATTTGTTGTATCTTTGTCAAACAAAACAAACGAAGCAGAGTCTGTGCCATCAACAACCCTTACTTGCAAACGGAACCTGAAAGATGCAAGAACAATTTTGGACAAATATTAGTTACATCTGTAAGGCATAATAATGAATAATAAAAAAGAACAAAAAGACTTACTTTGGATGATAAGTAGGCAGATGAATGTCACAATTTCTGCAATACCACTTTCCAAAATCTTCAAAGACTGAATGTGTACATTTTTTACAGCCTTTGTACCACCAATTAAAAGCAGATTCAATGCCCTTGATTGTGCCATACGTAACACATGTCATAGCCTAATTACACCAAACATTAACAATCAAGATGGAGGTTGATTTTTATTTAACGTATTAAATAAAGAGAACTAAATGTAATACCAATTACTACCTCCTTACAATCCTTGATGTCACAAATAAATTTTGCTGCTGATTCTTTCCAAAAACCAGCTGATTGTGAATTAATTGATTGGGTTGAATGCTGCATTAGTTTCTGTGCACTGTCTGACTGTGCATCAGGAAATCTGTGTATACAGAACATTAATTGACTTATTTTTATAGAACAACAGAAGAAAAAAAATACATCAGTTTCAGAAGTGAACCTAGATCTGAATGCTTCAACCTCAGCACAATCCTCATTGAAAAGTAGTCTTGTAGCAAATTTTGTATTAGACAATCCCATTTTACCTACACATAAACAATTGTGTAATTTATTTTTTATTACTCAAAGAGAACAAAATTTTCAGAATTAGTTGAATGATAATTTGAAGCACAGAAGGATATGCATTGGTTAAAATAAAATCAATACGATTATTTACATTCTATTCCAACCTCATTAAGCTCCATAAAGGTTCAATAAAATAGCATTCTGATAGAGAACATGGTTATCAATAAAAAAGAACTGTTCCAATTTCTCATATTAGAGTGAAGATAATTAAACAAAATAAATGACAAAATAGAAAGGTTAAAATCTAAGAAAATAGGAGGTGAGGAAGCATATAATAAAAACAAAAACAAAAACACAGAAGGATCTCTGTTGGTTTAAATTAAATCAGGTCCCACAATTGCAGATTGCATGAAAAGTATGAAAATATATTTTTATCTTTAATGTTTAAAGAATGAATAAAAAAAGAAATCAAAAAGCAAATTAGGAATGATGGAAAAATACCCATAAACTTTTTCATTCGAGCAAACTGAACGATGATGATCGTTTGCTTGTTTGAATTTTCACTATTATATTTAATAAGCTCTTCTGCATAGCTCTCCCATAAAGAACAATTAAGTCTCCCTCCCCTTGACAAAAAGTGAACATACTGTGTGAGATACAAAACGTATAACACAACTGAAATGATCAAACACTTTCAGAAGTATAAACAATAGAGCATAAATAAAAACCAAAAAATTAAAAAAACCTAAGATTGTCGAGCTCAATAGCTATCATCTTTGTCCTCTTTCCAGATACCATGTGTTCCTTAGAGTCACCAATTCCGCAGAGAAATCCAATAACGTCTGCAAATAATTTGCATGAGTAGTTATAGAAGAATAAAAGTGCATTAGAAGAAATGGAAGAGACGTTACCTACTAAACATGCCGTGTCATTAGGATAGCTTTCAATATCCTCGAATTCCATGAATGAAAAACCGTTAATAGGAAGAATGGCATCAACAATCGGTGTCACAACAGTTCTCAAATTGAAAGTAAGCCTATACTCATGTTGTGTTGGCTTAAATTTGTCATTATTAAGGCCAACACCAAAATTACGTATGACATACATTCCACCTTCTGCTAATTGATCTCTTATCCTCAATGACCCGCGGACAGTAGCCTGAATCTTGCCACCCTATTAAAAAGCAGGAAGCATCTACTGATTATTAGAAACAGTAGAAAAATAAATGTAATAAGTGCATCAAATGATAATGTCTGAGTCCTTGTTGCTTTCGAACCTAATTAAGCTTCATAAAGGTTAATCATATTCATGCAAGAAATATAATACAAAAAATATTTTATAAAAACATAATTATGAATAACACATAACTGTTCCATTCTCTCAAATTAGAGTCAAAACAATTAATCAAATCAAATGACAATATAGGAAGGTTAAAATGTAAGTAAGCAGGAGGTGCGGAAGGATATGATAAATACAATCTAAATAACATTCATATAAGCGTCATGGTTTAAATAAGTTTATAGGCCCAGGAGATATATGAAAAGACATTATTTAATACTTCTTATGGATCCCCAATAATACAATATAGTTCATACAGGAACAAATTATTCCTTCAATCGAAAATCATAAGACACCATTACAGGAGGATACAAAGCTACCTTTATAAAGAATATAAACAAATGTGATGATAAATAGAATATAAAAAAATTCATAGAAGCATCAAGTTGTTATGATATAACACTCACTTACAGTTCTATATAGCAGAACCAAGTTAAAACAAAGGCGGAAAAACCATATAACATAGTTGGCTTCAGGAAAATTTAAAACATTCACTTACAGTTGTATACAACATAACCAAGTTTTACTAACCCCATTACCATCAATACATCAGAACATATAAAATACATGAAAGTAATACATTCCGAATATATAGTACAGTGGCACAAAAGGATAAATCTGCTTCGTGAAAAATGACCACAACAAAAACTGACCAAAACAATATAAATAAGAAAAAAAAACATACATGATCATCAATTAGAACCATCTCCACATTTTCGCCCATCTCCGGTCGATGAAAGTTCGGTTGCCTCCACAATCTGATAACCCTGACTTTGATTCTCCATTGCTCTTTCGATGGGGTCAAATCACGGATAACATCAACTTTTGCAGCCATTTGAGAGATTTTGAATCAGATAATTTGGCAACACAATGGAAAGGAAGGAAGAATGAAGAACAATTGCAAATGAGGAGAAGGTCATAATAAATGACGAAGGAATACCCTTAAACCTAGCGTGCTCAATACTCATAGAGAAAGACCAACGGTTTTGCATAGATAAATGAAAAACATTCATTGCAGATGTATTGTGCCCAATCGATGATCCTGAAGCAGCACGTAGGGAGGATAGGAAGGGTTTCACCGTCTTGATAACCGAAACAATAAATAACAGCAAGAGAATGGCAGTAGATGACGTGTTTGGGTAAACTCCCAACATAGATAACATAAACATCATTAGTACACATCAGCAGATATATATTTAAAATTTAAAATAAATTAATAGGCATAAATGTAATACATTTCACTTTTTAAAAGACATATTTCTTAAATAAAAGTTTCTATAAAAAGAAACTCATAGTGTGAACACAATTCTAATATTGAAGGAGGAGCTGCCACTTGTCAAAACTTTCCTCCAGTGGCTTTTCTCTTCTAATATTAAAGATACTTAGTAAAGAAAAGACTTGTACAATTGGTATTGCATGAATTGGGTCATGTTGGTTATGTTTTGTCACAGGTGAGAATGATCTTAATTCATTCATACACATGGATACGCTACTTCCAATAAAACTGTCCGTTTAATCATCATTCTGACCATATAAATGCAACCGATTATCATCCAGCACAAATTTTCTCTTTTAAAGAACTGAAACGTGTGAATATAATGGGAAAAACTATTATTATGTTGCATAAGAGTAGTTTTATCTCCTACACACTCATCGAAAATCGTGACATTCATTTTTCTTTTTTCTTTAAATGGCGGGTCACACCACATATGTGTCACAACATGAGAGAAGATCTCTGCTTCGACATAAGATTAAATGAACCCGAATATAATTGACAGATGATATGGGACTTGAATAGATTTTGATTCAAAATTATTGTTTATATTCTATTAGTATGTACTATATTTAATCATATTCTGTTGACGAACTAATGTCATTTTATCTAGGTGTGGTGGTGATTTATGCTCGACCTTCCTTTGTTTGTTTGTTTGTTTTTTTTTTTTTTTTTTGTATAGGGACCTTCCTTTGTTTTTAATTCATTATTCGAAGATTTTCTATTTTATAGTTCTAAGTTGTTACTTTAGAATCAAGATATATGATTTATTGTTACGATCATCATCCTCCTTGAATAAAAATAATAATAGAATATCCATACCAAAAATAAATAAATAGAATATTACTTATTTATCTATCATATATATTTTGGGTCCTTAATAAAAATTACGGAGCTTATTTTAATTCCTTAGAAAAAAAAGTCGATTTGTGATCCCTCTAAAATTTTAGTCAAAATCATAGTCCTGAAATTCAAAGAAAACCCACATTGGGTCTATTTAGTATTTCAGAGATATCACGAGTCAAATTTTTTTTCTAAGGGATTAAATTGGGCCCTAAGATATTTATTGAGGACCTAAAATGTACTTTACTCTAAGAATTAACAGATACAATATTTATATATGAGTAAATATCATTTTTGGTCCCTAACAAAAAATTTGGTCCCCACTTTAGTCCCTTATAAAAAAAATTAATCATCTGGTCCCTATGAAATTTAAAGTGGATCCATTTTAGTCCTTTTGAGAGACTAATATGGGTCTTTTTTGAATTTGTGAAGAACCACAATATCAACTAAATTGGTCCATTTTGAATTTCTTAGGAACCTCGAAAGTATTTTTTTTGTAAAGGATTAAGGCGAGGACCGTGTTTTTTGTTAAGGACTTAAAATGATCTTTACTCTTTATATATATAATCAGACTAATATGTTGTTAGGGACTAAAATGTTAACAAATTAAAGAGTCTAAATCTATATCATGTTGCATATGTATATCACCATGAATAATATTTGAACATAAATTAAAACATTAAGTCTCTAAATAATAACTTAAACACACATCAAAACTTAAAAAAAAATAAAAATAAAATTATAAGAATTGCAAGAGCATACAAATTTAGAAAAAGATAAGGAAAGATATGAATTATTTGCTAGTATTAATTGGTAGCAATAGTACAAGAGAACATCGAGATCATGTGTTTTATAATGACCCTAACTGGTAAATCTTAGTTAGAGATTTAATTTAAGGATTTAAATGCCATAATTAGATTCAGTGAGCGATTTCGAGTATTTTGACTGTAATCATGACTATGTTATGAACAGTGCGTTCTGCCGGAGAATTTACAGTTTTGTGAATTAACCGGTAGAGCTTAAAATGAGCAAAATAATTTTAGGAACATAATTTGAAAATTCTGATGACAAATATGAGTTCAGAACGAAAAATTGTATAGTCTGGCACTTTCCGTGAAAATCTCGTGAATAGTGTTTCTACCGGGTATTTTGTACTGCTGTTTAAGCAACCGGTAGAGTCCAGAAATAAATAATTGATGAAATAAGAATAAGAAAGTCCAATATATGCCAAGCAAGTCAATATAGGCCCAAGAAGATGATAAGTTTATAAGTTTTAAGTTTCGTAAGTAAAGGAAGTACAATTAGTGATGCACAGTGCATTTCGTCAAAAACGGTGCAAAAACCATACTGTGAATTATGAATATTGTTCCTTAGGAAATAAAAAAATTAATGTAAATGATTTTAGGAAATAAAAAATATGTTTGTAGCTTTGAGTTAGTTCCGGGTCAATTTAAGTTAAAATACGCGATAAAAAAACATCCGATGAAAATGGCCACATGTGCCTATATAGCCTTGTCACTTAAATGAAACACTATTCATTTCAGATTTTCTTCTTCTCTCTCTTGCATGGCCGAGCTGCACATGGAGGGGAAGGGGCTAGGGTTTCAAATTTTCCTTCTTTGATTTCTTCATCATCCATCCACCAAATCCAATGACCCACCACATGAAATTGATTGGAAACCACTCAATGAATCCATTCCACCTATCCATTTGAGCTATAGTTGAGTGTGTGAAGAGTTATTCCTCCTCTCATTTTCGAGTTACTATTCATTGGAGGAGAAAAAGTGAGCTTTTGGATGGAGCTTGGCTTGGAGATTGCTCTCTAGGCTTTGTACAAGTGTTTAGAGGTAAGAAACCTCTATTTCCATGATATTATTTTGACGATTTAAGTTATGAAATTGATGAGCATATTTTGTTGGGAAATAATTGATGTTAGAATGTGAAATTTATGATGGATTATTGTTGTTTAGGAAGTTATAGTGTTGAGTAAGCATCCACATGTGATATAAAAATTTAAAAGTCCTATTGCATATTCCTCCTAGGTTTCGGCCATCATGGAGTGAGTAGGAGTTATTGTGGAAAAAATTATATTATGTATTGTGAAGGTATAGTGTGTTGGAAATGAGTGAAAATGGATGAGTTAGTAAGAATGCCTAAGTAAAAAGGACTTGGTGTCTAAACTCAAAATAGGAATTTAGTGGAAGCATTCCTAGGTGTTTGCAAGTTGTAATGAAGTAACGAAAATGCATTGTAAAAGAGAAGGATCTTTGGAAATTTTCCTTGTAGGATTCGACCTATAGGGTATTTAGGGACATATTTTGTACATTTTATTGTAAATAAAATGTGTTGTAACAAATTGTATAAAGGTGATGAGTTTTGAAGAAAAATAGCATGATATATGTTGAAAATTCCTAAGGGAATGGTTGATTAAATTAAAGAACACCAACGGTTATAAAGAGGTCTAGACTTGTGTATTGGCATAGGATTGGCAAAAATGCAAAGAAAGGAAAATAAGCGATAAAATGTATGCTTATGAAATAATTATGGTATTGCATCATTTTATTGATGCATTGTAAATTATTCTCTAGGTGTGCCTAGGGATTGAGAAGGATCGGAAATCTCTTGAAGCGATAAAAGTAACTTGTTCCACAAGTAAGCGTATTGGTAAAGCTTCAAGAGGTAAGCTCTATGTTTAAGGAGTCTTTTCCTGCTTGAGTGCTCCACCATGGTTAGTGAACTATGGTTGGACTGTATGACTGTGATTTAGATGCTTTGTATAGATGCATTCATATAGAGTTATTTGATAACATGATATGTTTTGCTCTGATGTGACTTCTGTAATTTGATTTCTGTAACAATCTCTGGCCATTGATTGTATAGTACCCGGACGTCCGCTTTGGGGTCCTCCCTCGGGACTGATGGTGTACTCCTCTGATATGTCTGGTTCCGCTTTGGGGTCCTCCCTCGGGAACACGTGCGTTGATTTCCGCTTGGGGTCCTCCCTTGGGAATGACGGCGCACATCTCTGATATGATATGGATATATGCTCTGTTCTGTTATGATATCTGTTATATGTTGTATTTGTATACTCTGTATCTGACTTTCATGCAGGAGTGAGCCAGGGGTATGGAGAATTCTCTATAAACCTGGAGCTTATTGAGATTTGTAATCTCACCCCTCTTTGGGGACACATTTTCAGGTGCCCAGATTTCCGGTGAGTCCTCACTAGGCAGGGACACGACACGTGGCTGAGGCAGTTGACAGACCGGATTTTGAGTGGCTGTAGGCTGCTACCTTTTTGGAGTGTTTGATGTATTTTAGTATTTTCGCATTTGATGGATCATGATATTGATCCTTTATTTTGTATATGGCCTGTATATGTTTTGTACATGTCTGTCAGTTTGATGCATGTACATTTGAGTATTCAGGAACGTTATATGATGATGTAGTATTCAGATAGGTTTATGTTTTGATGGCATGCTGTTAGATTTAGCGGCACGGAGCCATGTTATGCATGCGCCCATGTATGGGTATTCGATTATATTTGGATATCTGGTATTTCCGAATTGATATGTTGTATAAACTGTTTATCAGGAAATGCTTCTGAGTGGGATTGGAAAATCCCCAGTTGTCCGATTTATAGAGGAAACTCTGCCCGATTTTCGTTTACGCCGAGAAAGAATTAAGTTAGAAAAAGAAAAAGTTAGCTCATATTTTCG